AATGTAAGCACTGTGAGAGTATGGTCTTTATCTGTACCCTAAAACTTAGAACAGGGCTTGTTAAATATTTAGGATTCAATACATACTTGTTGAACAAATGAATATATAAACTAATGCAGATTTTTCAAGATATATGTGCAAAAAACAAGTGTAGAATAATGGACTCGGCACACAACCATTTGTATTTTTTAAAAATACATACACATATGCATGGGTTCTCTGAGGGAGAGAACACAGAAATTGATAATGACAGTTGCCCCATGGTGGGGAAATATAAAGGCCTGGGTGACGGGCAGTCTTCTTTTCTACTCTATATTCTTTTATACAGTTTGAATTTTAAACAAGTCAAAGTATTTTTATTTCAACAACAAAACAAAAAAACTACTAAATTTACCTTAAACACAACTATGATTTAATAGCATTAAGTTCTATTTATGGAATACTTTCTACTGAGCTCTTATTTTACAAACAGACATGGCTAAGCAATTTACATGCTTCTCATTTAATACCCACAACCCTATGATATAGGTATATTATTATCATTCCTATTTTATAGAGGAAAAAACTAGTACAGAGAGATTAACTGGCTAAAGTCACACTATTGGAAGCACAAGACCAGGGATTAGAACACAGACTAACTAAATCTAAAACTCAAGTATTTAATTACTATTCTTCCTGATATCAATACATAATCCTCAGAAACTTTTTTATAGAAGTTAAAAATATATATTTGCCTACTTTTTTTTTCTTCTTCATATTTGCCTACTTTTGATAGAAACCTCAGGGCCTACCTAGTACAAGAGCTCTTGAATAAATGTTGAGATCAAACAAAGTTTATGATTTCTCTATGTTTGTTGGATTATCACAGTTTCTATTTTCACCAAATATACTATTAATTGGAACTTCTTGGATTAGGTCTATACAGTGATAATCAGTATTCATAAACAACAACGATTATCATTTGCAGACACTCTATAAGCCAGGCATTATGGTAAACATTTGTCATTCATCATCTCATTCAATCCTTAAAGTAATAATATATAAGGTAGATTCTATTATTGTCTCCATTTTACAAACACAGAGACCTAACTTTAGAATAAGTAATTTTGCCAAGCTGACACAGGTAGAGAGTAAGGAGTCAGAATGTGGATTCAGGTCCATATCCAAAGTGAATGTTCTTAACAACTATGCTCTACTGGAATCAGAACAGAATGCTTTCAAACAAGGAAACAGAAATGTTGCACAAATTATCTTGTATGTGGATTGATACAGTTATAAATTATTTCTTAAATACAAACTCAAACCTGAATTAGATTTAGATTCAACAAACTGTTCTTAGGACCAGGAACTATCCTCCACACTATCATTTATTGTCTCTAGGCAACTTAAACCTCTCTTCGGAAATAACTTTAGTGTTAGAGCCACTGCTTCTACTAACTTACAGGCATCAGGGAACAAATTTCACATGCAGGGAAGGGCAGTAATGACATCTGGGCTATTTTTTCCTCCTAGTTTTTATAGAGTTGACAGTATAAAAGTTATTTTATGTACACCTTAATTGATTCAGGATATATTTATAGTGGGACAAGAGGCACTTTTAAAATGAAAATTTTATGTACTTATAAATACTTATTCAATAGCAGAAGAGACATTAATGACTACAGCTAAAGGCAAATCATCTTTGTATTGAGACTGACAGTTCTTACAAAATAATAGAAACGTAGTAACAAGCCCTACCTAGTCTTTGAATCTTATATTCTCTCTAGCACTGAAGTTCATATAGACCTCCCCAAATTCAAGGTAGGGGAATAACACTACCAACTAAAACCTGTAAAATGCCTAACACATTCTACCTGATTGTTAACAGTCAAGCTAAACTACGTATCGTACAGCAAAATTATTCAGTTCTGGTCACATCTCTTTTCATAAACAGCAGTCAGCCTTGACCTCTCAGTAACTGAGTGCCTAAAGGAGTCGTGCAGAAACTAAGAACAGACGTTAGAAAGACTGATTCTCAGTGCTTCAAGTTCCTTTCATTTGCAACCTGCCAAGCAGTACCGTCGCTGCCATACCTCCTCTGATCCTCAGCAGTTCCCCGTAGGCAGTGCAGGCAGATCTAATCTCGACGCTCAGGCCTCAGGGCAGGATCCCCATTGACTTTTGCCAGGCTAACAGCAGATAATTGACGGACAACAAGTTTATACATTGGTGAACCAAGGTTCCTTATTTGATAGTGAAGCACAGTTACAAAACTCTGAATTTGGGGTTCGGAGATAACTTTACATTGTAAAGTGCTGGGCAGAAAGTGCCCTAAGTCTGGGAAAGGGGCCAGGATGCCCTTTAAAACTTCGACTTCCTCAGATCCCTGCCCTTCCTGCTGAGCAGTCGTGGGCTTGCGGTCAGAGAGAGCCATGCGCTAGGGGCTTCTCCAGTTCAATCTTCCGCCAGCTTTCTCCCCAGGGACGCTAATCACCACCCCCACCCCAGTGCTCACCCCCACTCAATGCTTCCGTGTTGGTTAAACCCACCTGGTCTCCTACGCGTGAGGCGGAAGGACCCCTTCGCTTCCAGCAAGACAGGTTATCGAAAAGAGCGTCCCAAGAACATAATTTTCTCCACGAGTACCTCTCCTTCACATCAGGCCCGGGAGAGGATACCGTGACTCTTCATTTCGATATCAGCCTCCGGGCGACTCAAACTCAATCAAAAGATTCAAAACCAAGCCAGCTTCCTCAGCGCCTCGTTTCATTGGCTGCCGTCTTCGTGACGCCATCACGCCGGACGTTGCCGCGGCGCGCTGCAGCTTGGCTCCAAAAGTCTCAGCCGCGCGGCTCCGCGGAAGCGGCTGCGATCCGCGTCTCCGTGGCAACGCGCGCGGCTGTTTCCGGAGGCGGTGGCCGAGGTGGGCGGGGCTAGGCCGGAGCTGCTGGTGGGAGTCAGCCACCTGGGATTCTCAGGCCGCCTTCTGACACGCGGGCGCGCGGCCAGGTCCCAGGGTTCAGGGTGTGAGTGAGATGGGTATGGGTAAGGGTTGGTGTACGCCCTCAGCCAGAGGGAGAGGCGGAGCCTGGCGGTTGTGGATTAATGGGTTTTTGGTGTTTATTTTTCTCCCTTTCTTCATTGACTAGTGAGGCCTCCGAAGGCATAGGTCCCAAGCTCTGGAAGGTGTAGGGACCTGTTCCTTCCAGCCACTTTCATTTGGACCGAACCGATATTAATAAGCCTCAGTTAACTGAAAGTCCTGGGCTTTTGGTTTGAGGCCCTAGGCTTCATCTCCCAGGACTCTCAGGCCTACTCACTTTAGTGCTGTGAAATTATTTTGTTTGGCCGTTTTTTACATTTCTAATGATGGCATTACAAAATAAATTTATTTAAATTTATTTGCCTAGTTCATTATTGGATGCAGTGGGGTTTTTTTTGTTTTGTTTTTCAAGTACTAGGTTTTAGGTATGATTTGAGAATGTACACTATAAAAAGAAAAATATCTGAAAAAAATGGGAAAATGTTTGCTAAGATAATTTTTTGTCAGCAAATTTTTAATAGTATGATCTGAATTTCATTGTTGTTCTTTATACAGGGTGGGGTAAAAGTAGGTTTATAGTTGTGAGTACATGAAACAGTTTTTTCTTGTATTATTTATTATTGTATTATTTTTATATGAATAACTAAACCTACTTTTGCTTCATTCACCCCGTATTGCCATTATTATATCCATTTATTCAGTAATTATTGATTGTAGATTTTAGGGACATAATAGCACAAAATTGTGTCAATATCCCTGCCCTCTTGGAGTTTATATTCTGGTGATTCAATATCACCATATAAATAGGATGGCACAACACTAATGCAGAATATTACAAGTGAACAATGTCTGGGAAACCCCCATAAGATGGACATTTATTTCCTATGGAAGAAAATCAGGACTGTATATTGTATATGATGCACGTTATCTTATTGTTTCTGAACACAGGATAGAGCATCAATAAAGCTATTAATTACTGGCTGTATTACATATATCTTAGCAAATACAATAGTTTTTGTGTGTGTGAGGCTGGGTTTAATAATAAAACTGAGAAACCATTTTATTTTATTTTCAGATATGCACTCACTCTTTAATATGTTACCTTTGATGTCACAGGCATTTTATTAACTTTACATGTTATGTCATTTAATTCTCAAAACAACCCATGAGATGTGTGTACTGTTTATTTTATTGAAGGGAAACTGAAATTTTCAGATAATCACTAAAGAAAAATATTTTTCTTGAACTGTACAAACCAGCTAATTCAGAATCAAGTAATTTGTCTCTGAAATATTTTCCAGATTAAGAGATATTAAGATGCCATCATAATCGAGTCTGAAAAAAAGACATGTTTTACCAATTTCTTGTAAAATTGCATTGATCATTGGTGACTAAGAAAGTAGAAGTCTTAAATTTCGTTGTTTTTGACACACTGTATAAGGTTTACCAGTCTAACAGGTGTTTCTACACCTAATCAAAGTACTTATTTTACATTTAATTTTAAATTCTTACACTTGCCATTAGGCAGTGGTCAGACGAGTTCCGTATTTTTAAGGAATGTATATTTAGCTAAAATATAAATTTTAACGTTATAATCAATACCATTAGTGTGTCAGCTCTCTTTAGCTTGGCAAGATATTAGGGGTTATAACAGAAAGGATAAGAAACGGACTTATTTTGTATCGAAATGAAGGAAAATGAACTAAAACTTTAGAAACAGACAGTGCTAAGAAGACAAACTCCCACCTTTTTAAGAAACTGCTGTTTGGCTTCCGTGTTATTTAGAACACAGAAATTTAACATAAGTTCCTAGTAAAATGAAAAGAGTGGAGATCTGGATAAAAAGGAAAGCTAGATTTAAAGTTGCATCGGACATTTAAAAAAAAAAAAAAAGTAAAAGTGAACTTACACCTGGCACTGGTAGGGTTTTATTTACCACCCGACCCTTCCCTCTCCCCGCGAAGGAACACGTGTTTGGGGACTCAGCGCCTGCAGGACCCTTTGGCCCGGGGGCTGGAAGCAGCGGAACGAAAGGCTGACGCTCCTCGGTTGCTGGGCCGGACCTAGTCCCAATCTGTCCGTCTTTTCAAGTTCCCCCGGGGCTGGGACCAAGGCGTGCGGAAATTCAAGTTCTCCCGCACCGCAGTGGCCTGACTTAGAGGCCAACTGAGACATCTTCGTGCCTCAGGTGAGGAGAAGGCCGCCTTGTCCCGGGAGTGCTCCTGGAGCTCACCCCACGCCTTTGGGGGAACTTGCAGAGGTCGCCGAATTCACCCTGGACAAAGGGAACACACCCCCCTGCTCCTGCTTCCTCTCCGCCACACGCATGCATCCTGAGTTCAGAAGTTTCTGAACACTTTTACCTCGTCGGAGTATAATTCTTAGGCCAAAGGAGCTATTTTCCCCTCTCCTTTAGAACTTTCACTTTCTCTGCGTTCCGGTGCCAGCTCCCACGTCGGGTTTTGGCCTCAGGGATTCAGTTTTCAAAGTCGTTTGCGGGGGAAAGCTGACTGCAAGGATGCTAGTCGGTAGTACCATTGAGAAAGTAGTTTTCAAAGGTATCACTCACCTTTATGTTTCCACAATTAAAAAAGCAACCTGCCCAATTCCGTGGTCTCAACAGCTAAACTGAACTTTGCTAGCAGAGAAAAGTTAAATGATTTAGGAAACCACAGATTGGGCTCTAAAGGCGAGGTTTGCTGGCTTCCTTGTTGTGACCAGAGGATACATGAATTGCCTTAACTCATTTTAGGGTGGCTGGTTCTTAACCTACTGCAGGAGTGATTTTGCCTTATCTGATAGGAGATTGGGCTGCAGAGGACAGGGAAGGAACTTTCTTTGGAGCTTGCCTCCTTGCCAGGTATTCAAGGAAACAACCAAAGAAGCAAATTATTGTGGCCCTTACTCCGTGTTAACCCTTGTTAGTAACCAATTAGTGCATAATAAAATCTTCAGGCTTTGTATCTTGAATGTAGTTGAGTAAATAGAAATTGAATACAGAAGAAAAGAATTGCTGGCAAAGGCAGCATTTATTTCTCTCTCTCTCTCTCTCTCTCTCTCTCTCTCTCTCTCTCTTATTTTATCTAGTCTATTTGCTCTTTCCCATGTGGTTCTCATTCCTTAATTGGAATTGATGTTTTGTTGTTGTTGTTTTGCCCCCCCCCCCCTTTAAACTGTCAAACTCTGGACATAAAATTTAGATTGTGTAAATACTCCAGATTGCATGCTTTAGACCTATACATTGTATGTCCTCAGTTGGGTACCCCACAGTATACTCTTTTTCAGAGTGGAGTAGGACCAAGAAATTCATGAAGTACTACAATATATAGTCATTATAATTAAAATACCATTCAGTTACATAAGTGTATTAAATAGAGCCAGTGGGCTCTATGTTTATAACATAGAGGTTAAAATTACAGACTCTAGGATAGAATACTGGAGATAACCCTTCTAGCTTTATGGCTCTCAATCTATGTGACCTTTTGGCACAATGTTTGTTTTCCTCATCTTCAAAATGGAAATAATAATAGTTCCTACCTCTAAGAGTTGTAAGGATTGAATGAGTTAGTACATGTGGTATGTATAGAATTGTATGTGGTACTTAGTAAGTGCTCAATAAATGTTAGCTTTTATTTTGAAAAAAAATGTTAGAAATATTAAGTTAAAAGGCAGTTGAGTTTACTTTGTATACACTTTCTGGCAAACAAAGCATAATTATTCATTTGGATAATTTGTCACTGCTGAATAATCAAGTTTTACTTAAAACACTCATTTCCAGTCAACTGTTTTTCTCCCATATTCTGTGCCACATTTGCCATGTAATTCTGTGTGTTATGTGTTTGGTAAAGTTGACGTTATCCTCATGGTAACATCTTGTTGATATTATGTTTATACAGTATTAAATATATAGAGGTACATATATTTGTATTTCTTCTCAAGTCATTATACGTGATTAACTTTTCAAAATTAGTCTTCATTTTTATTGCAAAAATGAGGGAAGGCATATTTAAGTGGGATTTATGTTTCTTGAAGGATTTTGAGAAAGTGGTTTTTTTGTATGTTCAGTAGAACAGGTGAAATTTTCTAAAGCAAACTTTGATAAAAGTGATAATTCTGTAGAATCTGGAATTTATCCATTTATTATTTTTTTTTCATAAAACATTTATTAAGCACCTATTGGACATCTGATTTTGTGGTTATAAAGGTTGTGGGTCTTACTCTTAAATTATTCATAGTCCATGATGAAGGAAGAGTAGTGTTAATTTGGTACTTACTGTAGTATATCATATCTAAAATAATTGCTTACAACCAATTGGATAAAAAGCATAATGCTTTCAAAAGATCTTCTATTAGTATATTTACATTCCTTCTGCATTTTAAAGAGTTACATATTGCAGAATAAAATGGAGCAAGTATGAAAAAAGGGAAGGATGTATCAATTTTATATTTGTTTGTTTTGCGGGGGCAAGGGACAGATAATTAAAACAAAGTATGAAATGGCAAGGTGTGCTCAACTGAGTGTTTATAAAGTTACAGTTTAGATAGAAAAATACTTTCTAAAATAGGCCATGATGAGGAGATCTCCTCAGAGAGTATTCATGACAAGTTTGTAAGATTTTTACCTTTCTGGGACACTGATCACCTCCCTTTATTTTTGGACGTACATGCATAGTCTTTTTCCAGGGACACTTTCTCAAAGTTCAGTTGAAGATGAAAATTTGATATTATGAGAAAAACAAATAGAAGAGTTTGAAATAAAAGACCCTAACCCTAACATAGGATAATATTTATAATCCCTTCAGTGATCCAGATACCTTTTTCAAATAAACAGTTATAATGCGTTGAACTCATTCTCTAGACTCAATTAAAATTTAAAAAGTATATTTCAAAAAAGTGACAACTAAATAATCTATTTTCACATTTCTGATGGTTAAAACATTAATGGTCTTAGAGCTAATTAGGCCACATTAAAAATTACATTTTCATATTGTTTCTTGAGTTGTTTTGGGTTTCTTGCTTTGCATAAGGAGATTAGTCACCCTAACTTGTTTGAGATGATTAGTCTTACCTTTTTTTGGTGTTAAATATTATATATTAATTTGCTTTCCCCCAAGTATTATAACATTCTTTTTTAAAAAATCTAACCATCACGATATTTAAAATTTTTTTTTCTAGATTTGTTGACCTGCAGAATGCTTCGATACCCATACTTTTGTAGAACCTATAAAGAATTTCTTTCATGCTGGTTGGAAGCTGGCATATTTAATTTAGGTGTCGGGCCAAAACAGATACATGCTACAGCAGAAAGATATGATGAATATGAAGCCCAGGAACAAACAGATCAAACTGGAGCTAATGAGTTTCACAGATCTCAAGACAGAGATTCTGAAGCTATAACTAAATTACATACTCCTGTAATGGTGGATGAAGTTGTTCGTTGTTTGGCACCCCAGAAAGGGCAGGTAAGTTGATTTGATTTTTAAAAAAATTTTTTAACACTTAAATCGAGGTATAATTTACTTATCTTAATATTCACTTTAATATTTTAAAGTGTATGACTCAGTGGATTTTAGTATATTCACAAGATTTTGCAATCATCACCACTCTCTTATTCAGGAACATTTTCTTCACTCTGTTAGGAAACCTCACACCCATTAACATTCACTCTCTATTGTCTCCTTTCTTTTTGTTCCTGGCAACCACTAATCTATTTTTTGTCTATATGGATTTTCCTGATATGGATAATTTATATAACTGGTTTTACACAATATGTGGCCTTTTACATCTGCCTTCTTTTACTTAGCATATTTTCAAGATTCATCCATGGTGTAGCATGTATCTCTAATTTATTTCATCTCTGAATCATTTCACTGTAAAATATACCACTGTTTTAAAAAGTCTGTTCTTCAGATGACGACATTTATGTTTCTACTTTTTGGCTACTGTGAATAATGGCTGCTATGAACATGCATGTACAGAATGTTGTGTGGACAATATGTTTTCAATTCCCTTGAGTATATACCTAGGAGTGAAATAGATTCAATGCTTTTTGAGGATTTGCCAAACTGTTTTCCAGAGTTGATTAGTTTTGTCATAACTATTTTAAAAGAAAAAGAACCTTAGACTGGCTAAATGGTAGGGTATAGAAAATGAATTGTAGTTTATCTTCTTGAGAATTTTAGTATCTTTTCAGGAATGACTGGAAATAAAAGTAAAGATTTGAATTCCTGTTCTCTGTTTTCTTAGACTTAGTGTGTGTGTGTGTGGAGAGAGAGAGAGAGACAGAGAGGGTGAGAGAGATTTATTTTTAAGGAGTTGATTCACATGAGTATAGAGGGTTAGTAGAGAGAGAGAGATTGCTTTATTTTTAAGGAAATGATTCACATGATTATAGAGAGTAAGTCCAAAATCTGCACAATAGCTTGGTAGGCTGGAGACCCAGGTAAGAGTTGCATTTTGAGTCCAAAGGCAGTTTGTTGGCAAAAGTCCTTTTTGTTCCAGGAGGTCAGTCTTTGTTCTGTTAAGGCTTTCCATTAGATTAGATAAGGCCCACCTATGTTTGGAGGGTAATCTACTTTACCCAGTGAAACAATCTAAATGTTAATCTCATTTTTAAAAACCTTCACAGAAACATCCAGAATAAGGTTTGACTATTTGGGTACTGTGGCCCATCAAGTTGATACACAATATTAATCATTACACCTGCATTATTTATAGTGTTGCTGGCAGGATTATATGAGGTCTGAGATGTGAAAATGCTTTAATATCTATAAAGAGATCACAGATAAAACAACTATGAGGTATCACCTCACAACTGCCAGAATGGACGCCATCAACAAATCATCAAACAAGTCCTGGTGAGGGTGTGGAGAAAAGGGGACACTAGTACATTGTTGGTGGGAATGCAGACAGGTGCAGCCACTATGGAAAACAATATGGTGTTTCCTCAAAAAATTAAAAATTGAACTGCCATTTGACCAGTGATTCTAGGAATATATCCTAAGAAGCCTGAAACACCAGTCATAAAGAATATATGTACCCCTATGTTCATAGCAGCACTATTTACAATCGCTAAAATCTGGAAACAGCCCAAGTGTTCATCAATAGATGAGTGGATAAAAAAGCTGTGGTACATCTACACAATGGAATATTAGGCAGCTGTAAGAAAGAAAGATCTCTAATCCTTTGAGACGACATGGAGGGACCTCGAGAGTGTTATGCTAAGTGAAATAAGCCAATCCGAGAAAGACAAATATCATGTGATCTCACTTATTTGTAGAATATAATGAACAAGGTGGGCTGATGAACAAAATAGACCCAGAGACATAGAAAGGAGTAAGATTCAGACTCAAACCTCAGAGGAAGGGTGGGGGGGGGGGTGAGATGAACCAAAGAGCTTATATGCATGGATGCATAGCCAATGGACATAGACAACAATGCTGGGGGTGGTGGGGGGATGGCATGGGGTGGAGGGTGTCTGGGGGCGGGAAAGGAGAAACATGTAACAAAAATAAATGAATAAAAATTGGGGGAAAAAAATAGAGATCACAGAAATGTTAGGTGATATGATAGCCAAAAACAAAAAGTTAGAAACTTTCTAAAAATTATGCACATTTACAAATGGGGAAAAAACTTTATTATAGTAAATTTTCTTCAAATGTGTATTTGTAATTAAAGCTGATACTTTCTATTTTGCTGACTTCAGAAATATGATCTATTTTAGAAACTATTGTTATTACTTGACTCGATCATTTTCATTTTAAAAGTCATACCTTGTTTTTTTCCCAGCTTATAATGACTTAGTGATTAAAAACAAAGATTCTATAATTGGAATGCTTAGGCCTGAATTTGTTGTCTAACATGCATGTATGCACGTGCATACAGTTCTTAATTTTTTTTTTAGACTTCTTCAAGTTAGATGGCATAGTTTTCGTGAACTAAGTTCTGAGCTATATGCTAGAATGGCTGAATGTTGCTCATATACGGCCATCAGTAATATGACTTAGTTGCTCTGTCATAAAAATACTGTTTTCCTTATCTTCAGGCAGTTTATAACAAAATAAACCGAGTATTCTTAAATGAGATTATATGTATTAAACATCTAGCTCTATGCTGTCACATAGTAAGGATTCCACAATAGACATGAAAATATAAATTTAAAAATTAAGTTGGATAAGACTTCCTGTTAAATATGACTTAATCAAAATGAAATTCTCTTCATTGTCTTTGAAGATTCATAATGCAAGGATAACAATTACTGTCCTTACCTTAATGTGTTTTTAAAAATGTATATATAAATATATATGATATATTTGAGATTTATATGAGAAGGAAGGGGCAGTTAGTAAAAAAGTAAAACTCAATTTAATGGCTTATATTTGACCTCTGGAATGAGAAACCAAAGCTCAATGCATAATTTTTGTGAAACCTAGTAGTAAAAAACAAATATTTATTTTGCACTGACCCATGAAGTAGAAAAGCAGTAAAAAAAAATAATAAACGCCAGTAAATCTCCTGCTAAATCAGTATTGGATGTTTTTTTTTTTTCTAAAACAGTGAAATAAAATGAGACAGTTCTACAACTTGACCTGCCCTGCTGTTTCATTCTGTTCAAGTTCCTGACAAATGTAATGTTGTTTTATTTTGATATTTCCATTGTTCTTATTTGAGTTTGGTTTTCTAGTAACTTTTTATAGAAAGTTTAATTTTATGAATGTTATTTCTGAAAACTTTCATGTGAAGTACACCTAGAGACAATATTATTTCTTACCTTTACTGCTCTCTGGCAGACAGCTTTATTCACTATTCCCTTAATCTTCAAGTAATAAAGAACTGGTGACAGTCCTTGGACAGGAAAGGTCTGCATTTCTTGCAGAATTTATTATTTGCCTTTTTTTTCTTCCTGAGCCTTTTTTCAAAAATCATTTTCCTTTGCAAACTATGAGTCACACACTCACTGTATCAGTCACCCACTTAATGACTGTTTTTCACATCACCTTCAATGGTGAATTATAAATTAAACTTTTGATCATAACGGGTACTTAAAAAATATCTAAATGTAGTTTTGAGTGAGGCCTTGGTTGCCTAATAGTTATTTCTTTCTTTCTTTCTTTTTTAATATTTAAAAGGTGCTAACTTACAGAAAATAATTGACTTAGGGAATTTCTTCTGCATCATAGCCAATTTACTACATGTTAATTTAGTTTTTCAAATACATGAAAATATTTATGAGTTTGATATAAAAGAAAAAAAAAACTTATTCTTATCTTCCTCTCCTTTGGGAGGTACAGAAGGAATTAAATAAATTATAATTATTTCTTCTTGCCCAGTTTTTATTCTTTCATTTTTGGAGTTAATACCTTTAAGAATGTATTACTTTTTCTAAGAACATTTTTCTTCTTGCTGCTGGAGATAGAAACTTCAGCACTCATTTTACAATAGTCTGTAGAACAACCAGACAGAATATATGTAAGGAAATAGAGGACTTAGAGAACATAATGGACTAACTAGATCTAACATACCTGCACAGAACATTCTACATAACAACAGCATACATATTTGTCTCAGGAGCACATGGGACATTTTCTAGAACAGACTGTATGTTAGGCCATAAATTAAGTCTCAATAGATTTTAAAGAAAGATATCATGAAAAGTATTTTCTCTGAGCATAATTGGATGAAGTTAGACATAGATAACAAAAAAAAAAAAACAAGAATGAATTTGTGCAACTTAAACAATACAATCTTAAGTAACCAATGGATCAAAAAAGAAATTACAAGAGAGATTAGAAAATACTTAGAGACAAATGAAAACAAAAATACAGCATAACAAAACTTCTGACATCAGCAAAAGTGGTGCTAAGGGAAAAATCTGTAGATATAAATACTTACATTAAAAACAAGAAAGAGGTCAAATCAACAACCTAACTTTACAATGCAAAGAACTAGGTAAAAAAGAGCAAACTAACCCTAATGGTAGCGGGGGGTCAGGGGTGGGGATAAAAGATTAGAGTAGAGATAAATGAAATAGAGAATAGAAGAACAGTAGAGAAAATCAATGAAACAAAATAGAAGGGATCAAGAAAGTTGACAATCTTAGTTTGATGGACTAAGAGAAAAAGAGAGAAGACTTAAATTACTAAATTGAAGATGGGGATATTACTACCAATTCTGCAGAAATAAAAAGGATTATATGAGAGTTCTGTGAAAATTTGTATGCCAACAAATTGGATAACCTAGGTGAAATGAATGCATTCCTAGAAATACAAATAATACCACAACTAAATCACAGAGAAAGAAAAGACTTTGAATATACCTGTAAATTGTAAGGAGATTGAATCAGTAATCAAAAAATCTTATGACAAAGTAAAGCCCTGGACCTGATGGCCTCACTGGTGAATTCTATCAAATGTTTAAAGAACTAATACCAACCCTTCTCAGAGTTTTCCAGAAAACTGAAGAG